ACCCCGGTAACTATCCAGAGGTCATAAAGATCCTCGGTAACTGTCCAGAGGTCATAAAGATCCTCGGTAACTGTCCAGAGGTCATAAAGATCCTCGGTAAACTGTCCATAGGTCCCAAAGAACCTAGGTAAACTGTCCATATGTCTCGAAAGACATAGGTAAACCCTCGACTCTTGGCATGCCAACTATACCTATAGCTCTCGTATCATATAACATGGGCATTATATTCATATCACTTCACATATTCACATGTACATTTCACTTTTCGTATGATTTCATAATCATCTGTCACGTAGCTTATAACACTTCTCTTGTGTTCATCTGGCATGTAACTCATTGTAATCTCTTATTCTCATATGATTCTCATACACCAAGTATATCACATAGCTTGTTACCTATATAAATATTTTCTCATAACTTATCATCACATAGTTCCCATAACATTTTCCTATAGATTCATAAATCTTTACCATATGACTCATGTATTATATGTTCATTTCCGCTCATATATCCTCTCCATATAACTTATTTACATGTTCATATAATCACTTCTGTCAATGTCTCCTCATTTATATATCATTCTTATATTGCCCTATAAATCAATGTTATTTAACTTATCTCACTTTTCATCTAATCTCATAAGTTGGTTATACAATTCCTATATATATATATATATATATATATATATATATATATATATATATATATATATATATATATATCTAACTCATGTAATTTATATCCTTTCTCTTGTTATCATATAAATCATTGATATTTTACATAATTCATGCTCCTATAATTTATATCTCAGGTTCATATAACTCATCTAATTCCTATAATACATAAATCATTGCCATATAACACATATCATATAAATTCATACCACCTAACATGTGATACAACTAAACATATTCATGTAATATAAACATAATCATACAATCATATATTCAACATATTGGAAACAGACTTGTCGCAAGTCAAATTTACATACACAATACGTATATTCTAATAGTACGCACTCACCTGGCCTCACTAGTCAATATCGATCTGTTATCTTTCCTTGATCGATCTTACTTGCCAAACGTTCCGGAATTGCTTTATGCGTAGAATCTACATACATGTACATTTTGAGGCAATCATTAGATACCTACACCTTGTAATTGGATACTAGCAACTTAAACGAACTTATTAAACCAATATTCAGATTTTCCTTTAGGGGGAATCGGTTCCCTACTATGGGGGTATCGATTCCCTCAAGACATTCTGGAATTGTGTCGTTTGAAGGGGTATCGGTTCCCCTTGAATGGGTACCGATTCCCCTTGCCCAGAAATCATTTTTTTAGCTCGAAAATCACTTCATTTTCAGCCCAACACTTCATATATCATCTCATTTTCATTCTTAACTCTAGTACACATACTTAAACCAATCTATATTCATTTATTTCATCTTAAACCTCAAAATCCTATCTTCCATATGTAATTCAAGAATCATATCAAATTTTCTATATGTTCAAAATCAAATTCTATCACTCCAAATCTCTTAATTTAACCATTGACAAGTCAAATTTAACTTCAAATTCTACTTATCAATTCTTTTCCAAAGTTTCATATAAAAACTCCAAATCTTTAATCTCTCTTAACCCCTCCATTCTTTGATTTTTACTGTAACCCAAGCTTTCCTTATATTTATCCATCAACTAAAGATCAAAACCAAGCTTAAAATTCAAATCATAATCAACTAATAAAACTCTCACCTTTGCCTTGCTCTCCCACGCATGAAGAAGAAGAAAGGAGAAGAGAACTCTGGATGTTTCTCCCATTTCCCACGTGTATATAATTCCTTAAATGATCAAATGACCATTTTACCCTTTATTTCCTTTAACAATTACAAAATAACCTCATCATATGTATCCAATAATCATAGAACTATTTCATTCTTCTATTTTAGTCATCAAATTATGAAACTTTACAATTTGGTCACTAACCCATAATTTGGATGTTACACGTTATGTATGATTTTGAAAAAAAATTAAAATTTTAGGTACTGAAATGAATCAAAAATGATAGTTTAGATACTAAATGTATAATTTACCCTAAATAATTACTTTGGATTGTCTTCTCATCTTGTATTTTTTTTACACAGAATTTTGCTCTTAATAGGAATTGAACCCACAATCTAGAGACTGAGAAGGATTCAAAAATTTAAAAATATGGATCTAAGTTTTTTATTACTCTTCTTTTCAACAAAATGGGTATTTAATTTTTTTTTCTCCTTCCCTTAACATATTAAACTATATTTAATAATTTATCTAAAATAATTTGTATCTCGGCCCATGGAGCCAAGCGTATATGTCCATACATAGGGGAAATGAGAAATATCAACTAAGAGTTTTTAACCATCTGCTTTAGAAATTGTTAGACTCTTATTTTATATTTTTTATTAAGTAAGAAAATATTACGTTTACATCAAGATGAATCTTAGCCTCATATATTTATGATAAATACTTTTTTAATTATATCAACAGTCCCAAACTTAAGTTTTGGAAATTTACCTTAGTAAATACCAACACAAAACAAAAGGCAATCCTAATAAAAACAATAATATTGCTTAGCATTAATAGAAAATAAATGCTCTATATGGCTATATATACAAACATATAAGGAACACAAAATAAAACATTTTCTTACCCATCAATACGCGGAATCAGCTGTGGAATTTGGTAATAGAGTTTGAGGTTCAATTTAAAATTTTAAAAGTTTTAGAGGTTTAAAATAAAAATTTTAAAAATTTTGAAGGATTCAATTAACATTTTTTTTTCAAAAAATTTGGGGTATAACTAAAAAAATTAATTTTGAAAGGGTTAATGAGAATTTTTAAATTTTATGGAAGGGATTTAATTAAGAATATCCAAAAACTTTAAAAATTAATATAAATTTTTAAAAGTTCTATAGAGATCTATTTTTTAAAAATTAAAGGTCTAAATTATAATTTTTAAAATTTTTAGGTCATACCTCCACTACTCTACATTATCTTCCGCCTGCGAGGAATGAAGATATGAATTATGATGAATATGCATTCTTAAAATAGAATATAAAACATTAACATAAGAATCCGCACACTATATTGATTTTATAAATATATAACCAACAAAATGATTTGGGATAATATATTTTACCGCAAAGAACTGAGTTTAATTCGCTGTTAAAAGATATAGACAGTTAAAGCGAAGGTGTCAGGATGACTTAAAAATCAATTATAGATTTAAAAATATTTTTTAACGTAAACACACGTATATTAATAATATAAAATTTTTGAATAAAGTGAATATAAAAAGAATTTCATGATAGAAATCATCGGTAAAATAAATAATAGTGTTGCTTAAGATATAATTTATTTAATAGTACTAATAATGTGTTATACACTATGAAATTGGTAATAAGAGCAAGAGAAAATCTTTTATTGCTTAAGTTTTTACATAATCACTATTTACATGACTCCAAAAATTATAGGATACATGAATATGAATCTTGAAGGTCATTATATAATTGAATATAAAAGATGAAGGGTTAGGAAAGATGAATATGAGCATCCATTTAATGAATTGATTTATAATACTATCTGTTTTGTTTTTTATTTAAAATATTTTATGTTTGATTATTTAATTATATTTTATCAATTTATTTAACCACTTATTATGTTTGGTTATATATATATATAGGGTTAGGATTAGGGATGGGTATGGGTATGGGTCGGGTTGGGTCGGATTTTTGGTCCACCCGACCTGATCTGAGAACAATGACTCCTCCACCCGAAATCCGACCGGACCCGCATAACATATACCCTCCACCCGAACGATTTTTTGAAATAAAATCTGAACCCGACCCCAAATAATAAAAAATATTATTTTTATTCAATAAAAAAAGTGATTTAATTAAAAATAATAATATGTAGAGGAGTATTATTGTAATTATTCCTAAATATATAAGGTAAAATTATATTTTTTTCTAGGTCAGGTCAGGTCAAATATTTTTTACCCTAAACCGAATCCGATCCAATCAAGTCGGAACCCGTCGGATTCGAGTCTCATGCCCATCCCTAATTAGGATCCATTTACAAAATATAAAACTCATTAGTTATATATATATATATATATATATATATATATATATATATATTTCTAGTTCGGTTAAATCCTTCAACATTGTGGTTCTTGTAGATTTATCTTTCTCCTCTATTATACTTTTCCGATGAATTATAATTTGTTCTTGTAGTTTATACTTAATCTCTAGTTTATGTATTTATTTGGTTCACATCAATAAGAAGTAAAATAAATAAGGGCAAAGTATATAAATGGTCATCCGAATATAGGATATTGTTTTGTTAATTCCCTCGACTATTAGAAGTTATAAAATGATCTCCCGATTATAGAACATTATTTTGTTGAGTTCTTAGACTATTAAAAGTTATAAAATAGTCATTCGACTATTCATATGTTCCAAACTCGTCATTTCTGTTAAAAAATTTGATGCCTATCTGAGCTAGAGGTAAACTTATCGACTGAGATATGATAAATCATTATCTTAGAACCGTTTGAATTGTATTTTGTGGATCGATTATTTGTTAACATTATATTGTCATGCTAGTGTTTAAAACATTATGTCGTCGAGTCAGTGCTTAAAACCAATGAAGGTGCTAGTAGACATCATTAAAATATGATTTTATCATATCCTAATTAGCATGGAACATATGAATAGTCGGATGACAATTTTATAACTTTTCATCGTCGGGAAACTGAACAAAACATCATCCTATAATTAATGAATCATTTTATAAATTTTAATAATTGAATGAGTTAACAAAATAATACCTATAATTGGGACAATTTATGTACTTTATTCAATATATAAATAAATTTCATTGGAAGTCAAATAGAACTCACTGGGCCTTCTTATAAGTCCAATCCAGTAAGAAAAAGAAAGCAATAAAACACTAGATACTGGGGGGGGGGATGAACATCCGAAACAGTGGATTCATTACCAGAAATAGATTTTTTTTTTCTTTTTGGTTCCAAATTCGTCCCGGTGGTGAGGAGCTCCACCGTTTAGTTCGCACTTCGCAGCCATGTCAGACGACTTTGATTTCGCCGATAAGGTCAGACACGCATTCGATCACTTGATTCTTCTTCTTCTTTTTATCCCTTAATTTTAAGCTCTTTAATTCCCAATTTCAGTAGCTTTTCACTGAGATCCATGCAAATCAGTTCGAATTTAGAGATCTGGTTTTGTTTCTTTACCCTTTTTTTTGTTCCGATCTAGTGCTTTTTCAAGTTTGATTTCGTTTTTTTAGGCTTTTGCATGCTAATTCTTTAGCTTAATTAAAGATATTTTTACAGTTTCTATATTGCAAGCAAACTTATCAAACTATTCTGTCTCTCTTTTTAATGTCTTTTTCTGAGAAGTCATTTAATGGTTGCTACTTGCTACCTCATGGTAATTATCAACACTATCTTTATATGGGATTTGATCAATCAATTTGGGGTTTTTTTTTTGTTCATCCATACCTCTTGAATTCTGACTGAAGAACCTAAAAGGAGAAATAAAATATGAAGGTTTTAGTGAATTTCTCATACATACATCCATAAATTTCTAGGTTTCATTAGCCTTGTGATCACCGCTTAAGTCTTAAAATAAAGAATGATAGATTTATATCTTTTGTAGAAATGTGTGTACGCATGTAATTTTGTGTTGGTTTACATTATAGAATCTTTTTTGTAGTAAGTATACATGAATTGAGCCTGATAACCACATCTAAAAGTAAGCAACTTTGAAGTGGTAGCAATGTTTTTTGTTTTATGATTTATCCCTTTGGCCTTGTAAAAGTTTAACAGGTTGAAGGTAAGTATTGATTAGCTAGCTAGTTGTGTTACTTACATGCGTAATAACTCGGTTTCTGTTAATCTGATAGGAAAACAATATTATTTATGAAACTGAATCTAGAGGGTTCAATCCAGGATTGATAGTGCTGCTGGTTGTTGGGGGTCTACTGCTGACATTCCTTGTGGGGAACTATGTACTGTACTTGTATGCGCAGAAAACTCTTCCTCCTCGAAAAAAGAAGCCGATATCGAAGAAGAAGATGAAGAGAGAGAGGCTGAAGCAAGGAGTTTCTGCACCAGGAGAGTAAGGATATTCGAGACCTAGTTTCCCCTGTTCCCTGTGCTAAAAACGTTTGTTCACGATTTTCTTCATGTTTGATTCCCAGAGAGTTGTTTTAGTTTAGCTTTCAACATTTTAATTACAAGTTAATCCCATATTTGGTAGACTGGAAAGTGAAATATTGATTTTCTGTTCATCATGTGCAGTTTATTTATCTCATTTCTAATTGCATGTCTAATTTCCTTTTCATTTGTTTAGGCTTAAAAGAAATCTGTCTTTTTCTGATACAATTTCGAACAAGGTATAATCAAATACAAGGTATAATCCTGTAAATATACGGAAAAGCAGAACATTTACTGTATTATTATACATACAAAATACTTGAAATCTATATATCAATCTGTATGTTATTTGGTTTAACCACAACTAGCAATCATCTGGTAGTACTTTAGATTTTAGACAATGTAGATAACTTTTCAACACTATGCCACTGTATGACATCACACTGATAAAAACATGGACAAGGCACAGACAAGCTATTCGAGTTCTTTCACTATATAAGGCAGGGCACGGGCAGTAAGCACTCAGGCACCACGGCTCATGGTCTGTTCCCCGGGAGGGATCATGACCAGCACAGGCTGAGCATTGTGCCCCGGGTGAGGCAACCTTCGGCGAAGCTCGCGGCCTTCCTGGCAAAGAGCACATGCATGGCAGAAAACATGCGTTGCAAAGTCACAGGCCGATTCACAGAGTTCCCGCTGCACCTCGCCTTCCAAACAGCTTCCACAGCATCCACATGACCTGTTAAGTTCCTCACATGTACCCTGTTTTTAGCAAAGAAAACCACAACAGATAAATCTTTGAAAGCCCTCACCTAGTTGATTCTATGCATAATAAGAACAAAATATAGAGATCAACAAACTCCAATAGATCAAAGGATGTTAGAAACATCAAAAAACCAAATCAAACAAGGATATACAGACATAGAAATTTTGTTGTTATGATCAGAAAGGATGTTAGATTTACTTGCCTCAAGATTAAACTTGCGACGAATTGCGGTTCGGGTAGGGTATGAAAACCATGGAGCAAGACAATTCCAGCCAAAAAAGGAATTCCCGATCAAGTAAAGACCAGAGTAAGGCAAGCAGTGATTTGCAAACGTCCCCGGTGCAGATCCAAGTCTTTCGGCATTGCTTCCATACAGCACACAAGGGGCCACGCTTCCGAGTAGACCTGGCCGAAAATATCATGATTCGAGTCAAAAGCAAAGATGAGCACTACATAACTAAAAAACTAGATATACAGACAAATGTGTTGAACATTTTAATTGTACTTGTTTGAATTGAAAATATTAACAATTTCAGATCAAGAAGCAAATTCAATCTTCATACGTATATGTGTCCAACATATGCATGCTTATTTTTTTCAAGATTTGCATACATTTGAAAAACCATTGGAGTCATATGCTCATATCTCTATGTCCATATAATCCTTATATAAGAATATGAGTTGGACACAAATAAAGAGTCGGAAACTCGGAATAACAAAGATTGTGTAAAAGATAACAGTAAACCAACTACAAGTTGATCTAGTGAAAAAGACATTAGATTTCTTAAATAATGTTAGGGATTCGAAACTTGATGTCCTGAACGGAATAAATTGAGTTGGAAGATTGCTCACATAATACTTTTGTGATATTCGATTTGGATTAGTCAATCAATGAAATCACATAAAGATAACACTAACCAGAACGTAATTGATCATGGAATTAAAGAACATCCTTTCAAAATCATTGTCTTTTGATTTTCCTTTTCTTTCTATCTCGTTACTCTCTAAATTCCAAGTTCTCTATAACCAAAGAGAAATCAGAATTACAGCTTTAATTCCAAACTTAGCAATTATAATTCGGCTTCTAAACGCAGCAAAAATCCCAAATTTCTCAAACGATTAAAATTCCAAAAATTCGTAAACTATCAGATCTATTTAGAGATATCTCAAATAAATAAAAAATAAGAAACTTACAAACTTCAATGTCACTGCTGCAAAACTCATCGTTACGGCCAAGACAAGCAAGGAGGGAGGAATCCCACTGTGACCGTCCCATTGGTTCTCCGACAACACTCCTGCAGACCAAAGGCATCCCATCGGTGGTCCACCCAAACCGAGCCCCGGTACCAACTTCCGGCGAAGATTCCACATCGGCCGTCGCCTCCTTTGATTTGTTAACACTTAGTTTCTTCTCCTCATCTTCTCCAACACCACCTTGTTTGGTCAGAAGAGGGCTCGATTCCTGTTGATCGTTGTTGATGCTGCCACCATTGTTAATTGCCATTTTCTCTTTTGGATTCGAGAATGGAAGATAGAGAGAGATCTAAACTCAAGACTTAAATATTCGCTCTTTAGAAAGCGCGTGAGCTTTATTAATTAATTAATTTTTGTTTTGCTGTATTAAGACGGAATTTCTATCTGTCTGTAGGACCCAAAGTAATTTGTCTTTGTAGTGTTCTAAGCCCAAACACAGCCAACTTGGACCAAGTTGCCTAGTAAGCAAAACTCGTTTCTCGTTTCAATTAAAAAAATAATAATTTTTTAATTGGATTTATATTAAAAAATTGATTCGACTTGAATCCAAACTCGAAAATTATTAAATAAATTTTTATTATTAAATATGATTCGAATAATTCAAAAATTTTAATAATTAGATAATTAGTTTTCACGTTCCAAATCCCTCAACTCTTAAAACATAGCCTTTTAACAGACATTCATTGCCCGATTAAAGATAAATCTACACGCATGTCACCGACTCGTACTCGTGTTAACATGTGTATTCGACATATACTGTTTGTTTCTTCTATTTGGATAAAATCCGTGTAATTTTCTCTATTAATCTATTTTTCTTTTATTTTGATCCTGAATAACTCAAGTATTGCTTAAAATCTAGGAAAGATGTGCGTGTATGATTGTTAGTTGGGATGCTCTTCTACGTTTCTTAGTCATGTATGATTGTTTTGTTATCATATTTTTATTCTTTAGACTTTTGGGATGTTCTTCTATGTTTCTTAGCCATATGAGATTGTTTAAAAAAAATAAACCAAACAATATCATTTTGTTATGATTTTTTTAGTCCCAAATTTATTTTTTAATTATAGTTATATAATTATATTTACTATTTAATATGTTTTACCTTAAATATTATGTTGTAGTTAATTTGAATCATTTTGTTTCACTTGATTTTATGGTTTTTAACTTATATATATTATGACTTGCTTTGAATATGACTTTTGATATATAAAATTATTTTTTATTAAATATTTTTGGTATTTTTATTTAATTTTTTAAATAATTATGACGTCGTCTGGTTCTTCTGACGGTCGAACCGATCGACCGGTTAAACCAGTGAACCGATAGCATGACCGGTTCATTAACCGGTTCTGAAAATCATGTCTTTTCTAATTTTTCCACATCAGTAAATGCATGTCCAATCAGCCTCGTTTTTTTTTAGTTTAAGCAACACGTATGTAAAAGTACATCCAATAATTATATTTTTTAAAATTTTAATAAAATAATATCATTTCGATAAATAATAGTAGGAAGATGTAATTTTGATATTTAATTCTAAGAGATAGTATACTGAGAAAAACTAGTCCTACAAATATCTAAATATATGTATACTATTTTTAATATATATATATATATATATATTGTATCATTTAGTATACTTTGCATAAACAATTGAGATAAATATAGGTTTCAATGAGGAATAGGAATATAGGATGTTGGGTTTGATTTACAATTGCAATTTGAATGTGTTTACTTAGGCTTTTCACTTGTTTATATTTGCTGCACTTTTCTTTTATTTTTTGTAATTTTATTTAATTTGACATAGGGGGAATGATGCCAACACATTAGATTTTTCTTTTAAAATTTCTATAAAAAAATTAAACTTGAAAATTTTCAAATTTAAAAAAAAATATTGAATTCAAAAGATTTAAACAAAGATGAAGCCCAAAGTTTTTTGATGGGGACTAGAAGAAAATTAGAAGCTTTGAAAGTCAAAGTACAAAATTTTCATTACACTAATTTATAATTTCATGATTTCATAAGGGACTACAAAATAAATTTTCCATTTTAAACGGCAAACCAAGACATACTCCCTTAACTCCGTACATGGATCTAAATATGAAAAAGCTTAAATTTAAAAATATTTTCTCACATAAGGTGTGAGAAAAATTATTTTCTCATCTAGTGTGAATGTTATAATGTCCCATAAAAGATATTCGGAATATCCGATTTCTAAAAAACATGTAGAAGACCCGACGACTTCTCCAAACTGCATGCATGCCTGCAAATTGTATCTTTCCAAAAGACAATGTGTTTTTCATGGATCTTCTAGAAGTTGTCGAGCCTTTCGATACATTCTATGAGACGTTGTAACATTCACACTAAATGAGAAAATGATTTTCATAACACCTTATATGAGAAAATCCTTTTTTTTCAAAATATTATTTAGCCAGTTTTATCAACCTTAGTAAAATTGGTCAAATAATACTTTCAAAAAAAAATAGCTTCAAGAAAGGATTTTCACCTAATCTCTTGATGTTTAGTGGTCTATAAAACTATCACAAGGATTCTTGTGATATATTGGTTAGATACTTCCCGGGACTGATATCTTCTAGTCAATTTGTATTCATCAAAGGTAGAAACATTGTGGACAAGACTTTATTAGCTCAAGAGATGGTGAAAGGGTATTTAAGAAAGTCTTTCCCTTAAGTGTGCCATAAAGATTGATTTGCAGAATACCTTTGACTCAGTTAATTGAGAGTGTTTTATGAATGTCCTTGATGCCTTAGGGTTGCCTATAGTCTTTAGAAGTTGGATAAGGGCTTATGTCAATGTTTCTAAGTTTTCAGTGGTTTTCAATGGAAATTTGGTGGGGTATTTCAATGGGGAGAAAGGAGTGAGGTAGGGTGATCCCTTGTCACCCTACATGTTTGTAATGATTATGAATGTGCTCTCTCACTTACTGGATGTTGTTGCTAGGAGAGGATTTTCAAATATCATCCAAAGTGCAAAAGGATTTTCCTAACTCACTTATGCTTTGCTAATGACCTACTCATATTTTGTCATGGGTTAGTGGATTTTGTCTTAGGAGCAAAGAGTATTCTTGAGCAGTTTTATGGGATGTCTAGATCGAAGTTGATTGCTGCAAAAACTGATTTTTTTTGCTTGTGGCGTGGATAATGTCTTGGAGAGAATTCAAGTTTTTAATGGATTCAAGATAGGTAGGATACCTGTAAGGTATCTTGGGGTACCTTTAGTAACCATAAATCTCACTGAAAAGGATTGTTTGCCTCTGTTGGAGAAAATTCAGGGAAAGCTTGGAGTATGGTCTTAAAGGAAGCGTAGTTATGGTGGGAGATTGCAACTCATTATGGTTGTGTTGTTTAGTGTCTCCAATTTCTGGTATAGACAGTTGATTGACATGGTTTTCAGAACCGGACCGGTTAGCGAACCGGCCATGCAACCGGTTCACTGGTTCAACCGGTCGAACCGGTCCGACCGGTCGGAAGAACCGAACGACGTCATAATTATTTAAAAAATTAAATAAAAATACCAAAAATATTTAATAAAAAATAATTTTTTATATCACAAGTCATATTCAAAGCAAGTCATAACATATATAAGTTAAAAACCATAAAATCAAGTGAAACAAAATGATTCAAATTAACTACAATATAATATTTAAGGTAAAACATATTAAATAGTAAATATAATTATATAACTATAATTAAAAAATAAATTTGGGGCTAAAAAAATCATAACAAAATGATATTGTTTGGTTAAATTTTTTTTTAAAAAAAATAATCCCACATGGCTAAGAAACATACTCAAAAGCCTAAAGAGTAAAAATATGAGAACAAAACAATCTCACATGGCTAAGAAACATAGAAGAGCATCCCAACTAACTTCTATAAATAATAGAGGTAATTTGACATTAAAAATCATGAATCTTTTGGTGAGCATTGAGTGAACTATTCTTTCACTTCAATCAAGCTCGAATTTTAGGCTTCAATCGAGCTTCTAATTTTTTTTTGAGTTTAAGGCTTTTTTGAGTTCAAGTTTCAATATTATATTTTGAGTTCGAGTTGAACTTAATAATTTTTAGCTCCTGAGTTTGAGTCGAGTTGAGATTACTTTTAAAGTTTTCAAGTTTGAGTTGAGCTCAGCAATACTCGAGTTCAACTTGGCTCGTTTAACAAACGACGTCGTTTGGTTTAATTTAAAAAAAAACAAAATTGGCGGTTTTTTCCGTTTTCAGCCGGTCCGGTTCGAACGGTTCAACGGTTCCGGCCGGTTCACTAGTAGCGGTTCAACTGGACTAGGCAGCAGTTCCCGGTTGAACCGGCCGGTCCAGTCCGGTTTTCAAAACACTGGTTGATTCTACCTAAAACTATGATTTGGAGAATTGAGCAACCATGTATGTAACACCCCCAACCCGTATCCGCCCCGGATACGAATTCGAGATGTCACATTGACTTTTCAAAACATTTACTTTTAAAAGATAGTTGAATTTAAACATATATTTAAAATAAAATGATGGAACATTTGATCAAAAGTAATTAAACATAATTTAATTTATAGTGAACTTAAAGCTCAATAATTTACATAAGTATATATTATATGTTTACAAAAACGATCAAAGCATATACGAGTCAAACCGTTAATTACATGTCAACAATATTCGATATAACAAAATACCTACGGTTTAATTCTTTTCTGATCTGATCTTCTGAAAGGAGATGCTGACCTGACTGGCTTAGTTTTACTCTTCTTGCTTCTCTAAACCTACGTGTGAAACACTCACACGCTAAGACTTTGACGTAGTGAGGCATATAATGCATAAATGGAACATTAAAACATGAAATCACATAATTAACTTTTCTAAACATAATAAGTACAGAAACTATCATACACTTCACCCAACAATAACATGTAATATTATGCACTGTTCATTAATGTTATTTCTTTTAATATCCCATGGTACCTTCTTGAGAAATAAAATCCTAAAACACTTGGACATATTCTAAACATATCATAAATCATATAAAGAAACCATGGAACATATCATATAACAAAAGCATATATATATATATATATATCATCAACATCATTATCATTATCATTCACTGTTCATTTATTTCCTTTCTTTTAATAGCTCATGTATATCATTGAGAACTTAAGGTATGTGAGTGCATTGGGGTTGTGCACAAATGTTGTCACCACAACTCGTATAAATTGCACCGAATTTGTTACACCCCAACTCGTATCCAACTCGGATACGCGTCCGAGATATCACATTGAATTTTTAAAACAGTATTCTTAACAAAATAATCGAACATTTGGACTCATATTAAGAAAATATGATAATATACAAAGGTTTATACAAAATTCCCAAAATACTCAGAGCATACACAACTTAAACATTTGATTACATGCCAACATTGATTTACATAACAAAATGACATACTATTTAAGTTGCTTCTGATCTGATAGTTGTAGGAGAGATTTTATCCCAGCTGTCTAACCTTACTGGTCTACCTTCTCGGATCCTATGTGTGAAATACTCACACGCTAAGTCATCGACTTAGTGAGGCATAATAATAATAACAATAAAATGTAATGATAATGTCATAATGTGATGTAGTATCATGAAATCTTATATTCAATCCGTGCAGTTTACATGATCATGTTTCTTACACATAAGCTTATCCATTTAACCTTCATGAATTATTATTAATAAGTTCACTAGCCCATGATACAATGTTGAGAACCTAAGGTATGTGAGTACTGTGAGGTTGTGCATTATGTTGTCACCACAGCTGTATAAATACACCGAACTGCCACGTAGAATTGCACCGAAGTGTCGCGTATAAATGCACCGTAGTGTCGTATATAATGTCCATAAGTACCACACAGAAATTCCTTAAAAATCAAATACATATACCAAGGATCAAAGTATGTGTCACAAAGGACATCATAAATGTTCCAAATAATACATATATATCCCGAAGGACCGCGTAGACCCTCTACTCTTGGCACGCCAACTATACATATAGTTCTCATCTACAAAACATGGGCTTTTCTCAATTTACATAGTGTATCTCATAGACATATAATTTCTTACCTTCATCACATAGCTCATGTAACTTTTCATACATATTCATATAGATCTTTACCATTTAAAGCATATTATATAAATTCAAATCACGTGTCACATTCTGAAATGCAAACATATACTAATGGTTTTGGAATTAGACTTATCACATGTCTAAAGCTGAATATACTACTATAATCATGCTATGCATACGCACTCATCTAAATCTCTTTGTTTTCCCCCCGATCGATCCTACATGTCAATTATTCCGGGACTTATTTAGGCTCAATATCTACATAAATATAATTTTCAAGACGATTATCAGAAGCCTAAACCTTATATTTCGATTTTAATAACTTAAGCTAATGTAATGAGCCAAAATTTATTTTTCCCTTTAGGAGTTATCAGTACACTATGGGTGTATCGGTACCCAAATTACTTTCAAAATTCACAGGTATTGTTACCTGTCTGTATGTATCGATACACATGTATCAATACACCCCTTAATGTATCGATACACCATGAAGTTGTTCTTCAAAATTGGTCTTAGTGTATCGATACCTATTCACAGTGTACCGATACACCATGTCCAGAACAGACCTTTTCACCCGAAAATTCAATAACTCTTCATTCAATTTTCTTATATAAATCTCTTTTCATACCACCAAACTCAACTATAATCATTTAACTAACTTCTATCATTCCAACATCTTATTATCTCTCATATCTTATTTAAATTCTTAAAACTAAGAATCTTACTAAATTTTCCATGTAATCTAAACTTATTTATAACTTCTTATTCACACCTATGACAAGTCAAATTCAACTTCTAAATCCATTTATATGCCCTTATTCAAAATTTCACTTATACACTTCTTAACTTAAATCAACCATAACTTACCACCCTTTAAGTTTCTATACCTCCTTTTGATTTCATACTCTTTCCTAATGCTTCATCAATCAAAATCACACTTGAATCTTAAGAATTAACCAAAGAAAGCCAACTCACCTTTGCTTAAGTACTTCACGGTGGAGAAGAAGAAAGTTAAAGAAGAGAAGTATGGAAACTTTTGTTTCCTACACATGCCCCACGTGGGTATTAAAAGATCCATAAACAAATTTTTAATTATTTCCTTATTCAAAGATTCGTTTGCCCTTCCAGCTTTCCTTCATTTGATAAGCATCCTACACAAAATTTTTAATTAAGTTCTTGTACTTTTCAATTTATCTAATTTGGTCACCAAATTTTAAAATCTCACAATTTGGTCACTAACCCATTATTGAGGATGTTACAAATCTCCCCCTTACGAAAATTCATCATCAAATTTTCATTGCACGAACAAATGGGGTATTGATGCCATATATCCTTTTCACACTCCCATGTTGTTTCCTCTACCTTGTGATTTCTCCATAGAACTTTGACCAAATGAACATCTTTATTCCTCAATTGTTTGACTTCTTAAGCCAATATTCTCACCGGTTCTTCTTAATAGGTTAAATCAGGTTGGACTTCTACTTGCTCCAGTACAACGATATGGGAGAAATCGGATTTATATTTTCGTAACATGGACACATGGAAGACATTATGAATTTTCTCCATTTTCGGTGGCAATGATAACTGATATGCTACTGGTCCTATTCGTTTAACAACCTCATATGGCCCAATGAATCTAGGACTCAACTTTCCTTTCCAATCAAACCGTAATACTTTCTTCTAGGGATATACTCTAAGAAAAACTTTATCTCCAACTTCAAATTCAATCTCCTTTCTTTTAAGATCAGAATAGGACTTTTGTTGATCAAATGCCACTTTGAGGTTATAATGAATTTCTCAAACTTTCTCTTCCACATCTTGAATCAAATCCGGACCAAGAACACTTCGATCTTTGAGCTCATACTAGTTTAGTGGCGTACGATATTTTTTCCCATATAATGCCTCATAGGGTGTCATCTTGATACTGGACTGATAACTATTGTTGAAGTGAACTCTGCCAGTGGTAAATACTTCTCCCACGACCCTTTGAACTCAATTACACATGCTCTCAACATATCTTCCAAGATTTGAATAGTCCTCTCTGATTGTCCGTCAGTCTGAGGGTGAAAGGCCGTACTAAAGTTTAGGCGAGTTCCCAACGCTTCATGTAGGGATTTCTAGAATCTCGAAGTGAATCGAGGGTCTCGGTCCGAAACTATAGAGACACACTCCATGCAATCTAATAATTTCTTTAATGTATAGCTTTGCGTACTTTTTCATAGAGAAATTGGTTTGAACAAAAAGAAAATATGTTGATTTAGTCAATCGATCAACAATCACCCATATTGAATATCTTTTGTTTGGAGTTAGAGGTAACCCTGAAACAAAGTCCATAGTCACATTTTCCAACTTCCATTGAGGAATGGAAAGCGGTTGCAATAACCCTGACGGAACTTGATGCTCAGCTTTGACTTGTTGACATACTAAGCACTTAGACACAAATTCTGTGATGCTTCGTTTCATCCCTGGCCACCAATATCGATCCTTCAAATCCATATACATCTTGGTTCTACCCGGGTGCATCGTCAATAGACTGCAATGAGCCTCTGTCAATAAATCTTTCTTCAACTTCTCATCGTCGGGTATCACTATTCTTCCTTTATAATACAAATTCCCATCCGGCTTAACCTGAAAATCTTTAATTTCTCCATTCTTCACTTGCTCTACTCTTTTTAAACACAATTCATCTTTACTTTGTAATTCTCCAATTCGATCCAACCATGCTGGTTTAAGCTTTAACTCTACACATAGACCACCATCTCCAGTTATAGATAATCTTGCGTTCATAGCTCGTAAGACTGTAAACGTTTTCCTACTCAAAGCATCTGCTAACACGTTAACTTTTCAGGGATGATAGTCAATTATTACATCATAATCTTTTAAAAACTCAACCCATCTCCTTTGCCTCAAATTAAGTTCTTTTTGAGTCATCAGATACTTCAAGCTCTTATGATATGTATACAAGTAACAACGTTCTCTGTATAGGTAGTGGCGCCAAATCTTGAGAGCGAACACTACAACAACCATTTCCAAATCATGAGTTGTATAATTCTTTTCATGTGTTTTCAATTGTCTTGATGCATATGCTACCACTTTCCCTTATTGCATTAATACACATCCCAACCCATTATGGGACGCGTCACTATATACCACAAAATTCTTGCCGGATTCAAGTTGAACTAATACAGGAGATTCTGTCAAAAACCTCTTTAAAGCTTCAAAACTTTCTTGACACTCAGAAGTCCAAACAAAGGGTACATTCTTTCTCATCAGCTTAGTTAAAGGAAACACTATCATCGAGAAATTTTTAACAAATCTCCGATAATAACCTTCAAGTCCAAGGAAACTTCGAACTTCTGATACATTCTTTGGAACTTTCCAATCCATTATAGTATTTATCTTGTGAGGGTCCACCCTAATCCCATCTAAAGAGTTCACATGCCCCAAGAACATTACTTCATTTAGCCAAAACGCACATTTGGACAATTTGGCATAAAGCTTCTTATCTCTGAGAATTTTCATGACTATCCTCAAATGAGCGCTATGCTCTTCATGAGATTTCGAGTACACTAGTATGTCATCAATAAAGACAACAACAAATTGTTCCAAATAAGGATGAAAAATCTTGTTCATGAGATTCATAAAAGCAGCAGGTGCATTTGTTACTCCAAATAGCATTACGATGAACTCGTAGTGACCATATCTAGTTCTAAAAGATGTCTTCAGATTGTCTTTCTCCTGAATCTTCAATTGATGATAACCAGAATGTAAGTCAATTGTTTAGAATACTGAAGCTCCTTTTAATTGATCAAACAAATCATCGATTCGAGGAATGGGATATTTGTTCTTGATTGTTACTTTATTGAGATGCCGGTAAGCAATGCAGAGAAGCATTGAACCATCATTCTTCTTAACAAATAATACTGGAGCTCCCCAAGGCGATACACTTGGTCGAATAAATCCTTTCTCTAGAAACTCTTGCAA